TTTGTTTGTTTGTTTTTGATACAGAGTTTTGGTCTTGTTGCCCAGGCTGGAGTGCAATGGCACAATCTTGGCTCACTGCAACCTCCGCCTCCTGGGTTCAAGTGATTATCCTGCCTCAGCCTCCCGAGTAGCTGGGATTACAAGCATGCACCACCATGCCCCGCTAATTTTGTATTTTTAGTAGAGATGGGGTTTTTCCACGTTGGTCAGGCTGGTATCGAATTCCCGACCTCAGGTGATCCACCCGCCTCGGCCTCCCAAAGTGCTGGGATTACAGGCACGAGCCACCGCGCCTGGCCCAAATGGCTGCCTTCTTATCCTTCAGATCTCAGTTCATATGTCAGTTCCTCAGACAGACCTTTTCTGACTCTATTACCTAAAGCAGCACCACTGCTTTCTTTAACAGCACCTGAGCCAATGTGTATTTATATGTTTTTATTTTGTATCTCTCTTCTTTACTAAATTATAAGCCCATATCTCTTTTGCTAACAGGAGTATGCCCAGAGTTTAGTAAAATACCAGGTACATATTAAGCCCTCAATATCTGAATAAATAAATGAGCAAGCAGTACTGAGTATATGTTAAAGTAATGCTATACTAAACCTGCAAATTCATCTTTAATCCATCCCCCACCTTATTTGTCCTCCACCTCAGGCTCTGAGAATACCACAGACTTCACAAAAGGCTCTGACACCACCACAGCCTCCATCACAGGCTCTGAGACCAGCACGGCCTCCACCATGGCCTCTACTATGGCCTTAACTGCAGGCTCTAAGATCACCACAGACTCTACCACAGGCTCTGAGACCAACACGACCTCCACCACAGACTCAGGGACTACTATAGCCTCCACTAGGACCTTCACCACAGGCTCTGACACAACCACAGCCTCCACTGCAGGCTCTGAAACTATTGTGGCCTCCACCGCAGTCTCTGAGACCACAACATCCTCTACTATAGCCTCTACTACAGTCCCTGAGACTACCATGGCCTCCAGCACAACCTCCACTGCAGGCTCTGAGACAACGATGGCCTCCACCATAACTTCTGAAACCACCATGGCCTCCACCACAAGTTATCAGACCGCCACAGTCTCTACCACAGGCTCTGAGACCACCACCACCCCCACTGCAGGCTCTGGGGCCACTAAAGTCTCTACCACAGGCTCTGAAACCACCACAGCATCTACTGCAGGTTCTGAGACCACCTCCTCCACCTCCACGGCAGGCTCTGAGGCCACCACAACCTCAACTGCAGACTCCAAGGTGATCACAGCATCCAGCATGAGCTCTGAGACCACTATGGCCTCCACTGTAGGCTCTAACACCACCACAGCCTCTACCACAGGCTCTGAGACCACTACAGTCCCTATTAAAGCCTCTGAGACCACTACAGCCTCTACAGCAGGTTCTGAGACCACCACCTCCACCCCTACAGGCTCTCAGACCACCATAGTCTCTATTTCAGGTTCTGAGATCACCACCGCCTCCACAGCAGGATCTGAGACTACCACAGTCTCTAGTGCAGGCTCTGAGACAACCACCATCTTCACTGCAGGCTCTGAGACCACTACAGTCTCTACCACAGGCTCTGAGACCACCACAGTCTCCACCATGGGCTCTGAGACCACCGTAACCTCTACTGCAGGCTCTGAGACCACCACAGTCTCAACTTCAGGCTCTGGAACCACCACAGCCTCTACTGCAGATTCTGAGACCACTGCAGCCTCTACTACAGGCTCTGAGACCACCATGGCATCCACCATGAGTTCTGAGACCACTGCAGCCTCTACCACAGGCTCTGAGACCACCATGATCTCCAATGCAAGCTCTGAGATGACCACAGTCTTCACTGTAGGCTCAGAGACCATCACAGCGTCTACCATGGGTTCTGAGACAACCATGGCATCCACCATAAACTTTGAGACCACTGTAGTCTCTACCATAGGCTCTGAGACCACCACAGCCTCTACTGCAGACTCTGAGACCACAACAGCCTCTACTGCACATTCTGAGACCACTGCAGCCTCCACCATGGGCTCTGAGACCACCACAGTCTCAGCTGCAGGCTCTGAGACCACAGTCTCCATTGCAGGTTCTGAGACCACTGCAGCCTCTACTAAAGATTCTGAAACCAACATAGCATCTACTGAAGATTCTGAGAGTACCTCAGCCTCTACTACAGGGTTTGAGACAACCACAGCCTCTACTACAGGCTCTGAGGCCACTATGACATCCACCATGGGCTCTGAGACCACTATGACCTCTATCATAGGCCCTGAGACCACCAAGGTTTCCACTGCAAGCTCTGAGATGATCACAGTCTCTGCTGAAGGCTCTCAGACCACCACAGCCTCTACCACAGGCTCTGGGACCACTACAGACTTTAATACCAGCCCTGAGACCACCACAGCCTCCACCATGGGCTCTGAGACCACCACAGATTCTACCACAGGCTCTGAGACCACCACAGCCTCCACTGAAGGCTCTGAGACCACTACAGTCTCTGCCACAGGCTCTGAGACCACCACAGTCTCTACCACAGGCTCTGAGACCACTACAGTTTCATCCACAGGCTTGGAGACCACCATCACTACCATTGAAGGCTCTGAGATGACTATAGTCTCCACCACAGGCGCTGAGACCACCACAGCCTCTACTGAAGGCTCTGAGACTACTACAGTATCTGCCACAGGCTCTGAGACCACCACAGTCTCTACTGAAGGCTCTGAGACCACTACACTCTCCACCACAGGCTCTGAGACCACTAAAGTTTCTATCACTGGCTCAGAGACCACTACCACTTCTACTGAAAGCTCTGAGATGACTACAGTCTCCATCACAGGCTCTGAGACCACTAAAGTTTCTATCACTGGCTCAGAGAACACTACCACTTCTACTGAAGGCTCTGAGATAACTACAGTCTCCATCACAGGCTCCGAGACCACCACAGCCTCTACTGAAGGCTCTGAGACCACCTCAACCTCTACTACAGGCTCTGAGACCACCACATCCTCTACTACAAGCTCTGAGACCACTATGGCATCCACCATGAGCTCTGAGACCATTATGGCCTCTACCATAGGCTCTGAGACCACCAAGGTCTCCACTGCAAGCTCTAAAATGACCACAGTCTTCACCGAAAACTCTGAGACCACCATAGCCTCTACCACAGGCTCTGAGACCACCACAGTCTCCACTCCAGGCTTTGAGACAATCCCAGCCTCTACAGCAGGCTCTGAGACCACCATCACCTCCACTGAAGGCTCTGATGCCACTACAGTCTCTACCACAGGCTCTGAGACCACCACAGCCTCTACTGAAGGCTCTGAGACCACTACACTCACTACCACAGGCTCTGAGACCCCAACAATCTATAACACAGGTTCTGAGACCACCACAGCCTCTACTGCAGGCTCTGAGATAACCGCCACCTCTACTGAAGGCTCTGAGACCACCACAGCCTCTACTGAAGGTTCTGAGACCACTACAGTTTCTACCACAGGCTCTGAGACCACCACAGTCTCTGCTGAAGGCTCTGAGACCACCACAGTCTCTGCTGAAGGCTCTGAGACCACTACAGTCACTACTATGGGCTCTGAGACCACCACGGCCTCTACTGCAGGCTCTGAGACCACCACAGATTCTACCACAGGCTCTGAGACCACCACAGCCTCTACTGAAGGCTCTGAGACCACTACAGTCTTCACCATGGGCTCAGAGACCACCACAGGCTCTACCACAGTCTCTGAGACCACCATGGCCTCTACTGAAGGCTCTGAGATCACTACAGTCTCCACCACAGGCTTGGAGACCACCATGGTCTCTACCACAGGCTCTGAGACTACCATCACCCCTACTGAGGGTTCTGAGACCACTACAGTCACTACTGCAGGCTCTGAGTCCACAACAGTCTATACCACAGGCTCTGAGACTACCACCACCTCTACTGAAGGCTCTGAGACTACCACAGTCTCTACCATGGGCTCCGAGACCACCACAGCCTCTCCCGCAGGTTTGGAGACCACCACAGTCTCCACCACAGGCTCTGGGACCACCACAGCCTCTACTGCAGGCTCTGAGACCACAACAGTCTATACCACAGGCTCTGAGACTACCACCACCTCTACTGAAGGCTCTGAGACCACTACAGTTTCTACCACAGGCTCTGAGACCACCACGACCTCTACCACAGGCTCTGTGATGACTACAATATCTACCACAGTCTCTGAGACCACCATGGTCTCTACCATAGGCTCTGAGACCACCACATCCTCTACTGCAGGCTCTGATACCACCACCACCTCTACTGAAGGCTCTGAGACCACCATGGCCTCCACAGCAGGCTCTGAGATCAGCACAGCCTGTACCACAGGTTCTGAGACCTCCACATCCTCCAGTGCAGGCTCTGAGACCAACACTGCCTTCATCATAGGCTCTGAGACCACCATAGCTTCCACTGCAAGCTTTGAGCCCACTGCAACTTCCCTCACAGGCTCTGAGACCACCACAGTCTCTATCACAGCTTCTGGGGCCACTGCAGCCTCCATCACTGTCTCTGCCACCACTTTTGTACCCACCAAGGCCACTGACGTGTCTATTCAGCCCATCACCAACACAGCTATGTCAGGTACTAACCCCCAGGTCTTCTTTGAGCTCACACATTTTAACTCCAGTGGCAACCACCAGCTGTTCACCTGTTTCTATCATCTCTGCCCTGGTTCAAATCAAGCCACCACATAGTTAGATATAATTTCCTCTTCTAGGCTGGGCACAGGGGCTCATGCCTGTAATCCCAGCACATTGGGAGGCCGAGGCGAGCAAATCACGAGGTCAGGAGATTGAGACCATCCCGGCTAACACGGTGAAACCCCGTCTCTACTAAAAATACAAAAATTAGCCGGGTGTGGTGGCGGGCGCCTGTAGTCCCAGCTACTCAGGAGGCTGAGGCAGGAGAATGGTATGAATCCGGGAGGCGGAGCTTGCAGTGAGCAGAGATCACACCACTGCACTCCAGCCTGGGCGACAAGAGTGAGACTCTATCTCAAAAAAAAAAAAAAGAAAAAAAAAATTCCTCTTCTAGAATCCTAATTGCCTCTACTCTGGTCTCACCTTTTTTTTTTTTTTTAACTGCCCACCACTTCCATTGCAATCAGAACCACAAAATATAATAAACCACAAGTGCATTATGTCTGTCACATCTTCCTCCAGCAAGCCTGTCTCAACTCTGCTGGCCCATCACAGTTTTGTGAAATGCTCCCACTTCGGTGCCAAGTAGATTATCTCTATTCAACCTATCATCTGTGACACCGCCACCTCCTATCCATATATTGACCCTAGTCCAGACGCTGGCAGACCACGTTTCATGGGTCACCTGTTACCTGGTTTTGTAAAGTTTTATTGGAACATAGTCATGCCCATTCATTTACGGTTTGTCTCCAGCTGCTTTTCCGCTTTTCAATGTATTTGCAACAGAGACTGCCTGGCCCAAAAGCCTAAAGTATTTGCTGTCTGAACCTTTACAGAAAATATTTGACAACCTTTGCTCTAGTCTGAGACCAAACAACTTTGTTCGTTCTCTGGCACTTGCCATCAGCAAGCCAGTTGCATCTGATTCTATCCTCTTGGTTCTGAGCACACTCACCTCTATTCTCGTGACTGGTGCTGTTTGTGATCCCATTTTAACCACTTCTGACCTAGGCACACCCATCGCTACCTAAGCTGCCACCACTGCCTCTGCTGTGTTGATTCTCGCTTGCACCTGTCTGAGCCCCCCTCTCCTGTCCCTGTGAGCAGCTTCTCCACTTGGGTCAGGTCCTCCCACATCTGCCCAGGAACACTCACCCCACCTTTGCTGGCCACCACAGTGTGGTAGATGATGTCACCTCTGTCCCAGCCACGGCCACTGGCATGCCCGTGAGTGAATCCAATTCTGTCATCTCCTCCTCCAGCTCCCTCCTTATGCCCAGTGATCACAGTCACAAGAGAAGCAGGGCCTGCCGCTTTGTATACCAGCCTGCCCACTTATTTTATTTTATTTATTTATTTTTAATTTTTTCCCATAAGTTATTGGGATACAGGTGCTATTTGGTTACATGAGTAAGTTCTTTAGTGGTGATTTGTGAGATTGTGGTGCACCCATCACCCGAGCAGTATACACTACACCATATTTGAAGTATTTTATCCCTCGCCCCTCCCACTCTTCCTCCAAAGTCCCCATAGTCCATTGCATCATTCTTATGTCTTCCTATTTTCGAAGCTTAGCTCCCACATATCAGTGAGAACATACGATATTCGGTTTTCCATTCCTGAGTTACTTCACTTAGAATAATAGTCTCCAGTCTCATCCAGGACACTGCAAATGCTGTTAATTCATTCCTTTTAAACAGCTCGCTGTCTTCTATTTGGGTGGCAGCTTCGGAAGTCAAATAGATCTTCCACTTCTGAACCCATCACAATCACATTTCCTCGACCTTCTGCCTCCTCCATCACCAACCCCACCAGGTGACACATTCTACTTCCTTCTCTGTACGACACCCACCTCCATTCTGGGGACATGGGCACAGCAGAATCGCTTTCTACCATCTCTCCTCCCCCATCACCCCTCTCCTGAGCCATCTCCACCATAGGTTTGTTAGATTCACACTCCTCTGCTCTAAGCACCTCCATTCCTCTTTAATCATCTCTGCTACAAATGCATCATCTTGTGTGACCTGTTTCATAGGCACCAAGACCACTGGAACCAGACCCACCGCCTCCAGCTCTGTCACCATGACCTCTGGAATGGACTCCACAGCCTCTGCTGCCAGCCATATTGTGCCAGGAATAGTCCCAAACACCTCTGGCCTGGATACATCTACTAGGGGAGCATCATCTACCACCTCAGCCCCTGGTGTCAGGACCACCACAGGATCCACCCATGAGCCAACTAGCAGCACCTCCCAGGAAACAGGCCCAGTATCCACAGGCACGAACACAGTTAGCATGAGCCACATGCCCACAAACGTGATCAAACCAAGTGGATATTTACAGCCCTGGGCTATCATCCTCATTTCCCTGGCTGCAGTCGTGGCTGGTGTTGGATTGTCAGTAGGACTGAGTTTTTGTCTGGTGAGTACCCAGGGTGGGTTCATAGGGGAGCCTGGAGAGAAGGCAGGTCTTAATGGTGGGGGAAATCATGTCAGCAGTGCTTTGGAAAAATCCAGAATGAGAAAGGGGAGTAAGTTGGTGCACTCAGAAGGAAAGAATCACCTAGCCTGATATAAGGATCACAGCGAATCCTTAAGTCAGAGAAAGTGAGAAGCAAAGTAGACAAAGAGGAGGGAAAAGATGAAGTTGGGGCCAAAGTGAAGGGAAATACTGAGAGAACAAAGGAAATACTGAGAGAGAACAAGGAGGACATAAACATAAAGAAAGCAAGAAGCAGCTGGGCGCAGTGGCTCACGCCTGTAATCCCAGCACTTTGGAAGCCCAAGGTGGACAAATCACTTGAGTCCAGGCATTTGGGACCAGCCTGGCCAACATGGTGAAACTTGTCTCTACTAAAAATACAGAAATTAGCCAAGAGTGGTGGCATGTACCTGTAGTCCCAGCTACTTGGGAGGCTGAGGCACGAGAATTGCTTGAACCTGGGAGACGGAGGTTGCAGTGAGCAGAGATCACGCCACTGCACTCCAGCCTGGGTGACAGAGCAAGACCCTGTCTCGAAAGAAAGAGAAGGAAGGAAGGAATGAAGGAAGGAAGGAAGGAAGGAAGGAAGGAAGGAAGGAAGGAGAGAGAAAGAGAAAGAAAGGAAGAAAGAGAGGAAGAAAGAGGGAGAGAGGGAGAAAAGAGAAGGAAAGAGAAAGAAAAAGAAAGAAAAAGAAAGAAAGAAAGAAAGACCAAAGAAAAAAGGAAAGAAAGAGAGAAATAGAGAAAGGAAAGAAAGAAACATAAAAATCCTCAGCCATCCAAAAGGCAGGCTTCTGATTGTCTCATGTATGACAAATTTCTGGTCCTCACAGCACTCTGCAATTCCTTGTGCGGCCTGTGAATGTTACCCTCTGGCCTCCCACTCCATCTCTGCTCTCTGGTCTTGATTGTTCTTTGAATACATATTTTTCTTACTTTGATTTCACATTTATTTGTGTTCTTCCTGTTCTCTTGTGGGTAAGTTCCCATTTGAAGAGTGAAGCAGAGTATAAATCAGTGGTGTGCTGGAGCCGGCTCATCCTAGCCCACAAGAGATTGTGCAGTTCTTCCCAATTCTGAGCTGAGTGGAGTGACACTGGTAGCTTAAAATATGCTGTACTGGAAATATTTACACCACAGCAATTGTCAAACACTGCAAATCAGCACTTTTCCTTCGGAGAGCCTGTTATTAAGTGTTGGACAACATACCACTGGTAAAAATGGACAAATAAAAAATACTTACGGAAGCCACAAAAGGTTTGGATACTATAGTCAATTTGCTGAGGTTCTTTATTTTAGAATTCTCAGCCTCTCTCCATATGTGGGCTACATAATAAATACCAGCATCTAAGAATTACTCCCTAAATTACTTTATTATTTCATTTGCAAGATCAAGAGAGAATAACGAAAGTGGACACTGAGTTTTTACTACGTGCTAGGCTCAAGGCTGAATGTTTAAAATGCATGATGTCATTTAATCTGGTCTACAATCCCGTGGCCATATTATATTCATCTTATAAGTGAGGGATCTGGAGCTCCATGATCTTAGCTATTTGCCCCAGCACATGTAGTGAGTGACAGATCTAAGACTCTAACCCAGGTTGGTTAGATTCTGGAGTTCATGCCTATAATCTCAAGGCTCTGTGTAAACAGCTTTCGAGGGCTCTCAATTCCACATACCTGTCCTCAGCTTCCTTAGTTGATTAACAAAGAGAAAGACTGTCTGTCAAGTGAGTCTCTGTGCCTTTCACGTAGGGGTATGGATTTACCTTTGTCTTGAAATTCCAAAAACACATAACCTTAGGATCTGCAGAACAAGGGCCTGAGTAGTCACATAAAGAGAATATGTTAATAAGGTAACAGGGAAGCTTATTTTCTCAGAGAGAGAAAGAGTAAAAGAACAAGGAGAAAGAGAGACAGAGACAGAGATCATAGTAAGGATGGTGGTAAAGAGGAGAGAAAATAGGCGGTTTGGAAAAGCGAAAATCTGACATCGGTGAAACAGGCATGTATGGTGATTGGGGAGAGGAGACTTAATTTTCATTGATCAATATACATATTTTTTTCTTTTAGAGAGACCTTTTCTTCCCCCTGAGGAATTGTGTTTATTACCCCCATGGCCACAGCCATGGCCTTGGTCTGGACCTGGACTTGGGCCTGGGCTCTGGGACATTCCACAGCCTGGGAAATGCTCTGGTTCATGGAGGAGAACTTGAAATGGGACATGGAGGAACATGTGGCTTTGGACACGGAGTGGGCCATGGACTGAGCCACATCCATGGAGATGGCTACGGAGTGAATCATGGCGGGCGTTATGGACATGGAGGAGGCCACGGAGGAGACCATGGAGTGGATCACAGAGGAAGCCACCAAGAAGGCCATGGCAGGACAAGATGGCTGTGGCCATAGATTAGATATCAAAACATATTATGGGTGGGAGGGAGTCACTGAGGAGAAAAAAATAATGATAATGAAATAATTAAAATGGAGCATCTGAAGGTTCCCAGGATGTGATCTGTGGAGATGGACATGGACTAGGTCAAGAAAAGAAACAGCAAAAGGACACAGAGACTTTGACTGGCTTGGAGGTGACTTCGAGTCAAACCTTCTGTGAGTTTTTCCTGAGTCTCCGCCCCTGTTGTGGGGAGTCACGACGACCACCCTCAGGACATCTTCTCTCCCATTTCCCGCCACATCAGGGTCAACGTTTCTCATCCCTGTTTCCTCATGGTGCTATAAATATTACCAGGACATGTCTAAGAAACAAAAGCACGTAATGAATGTATTATCAGGGCCACACACTTATTTGTTTTCCTGTTTGTTCTTTCAGTTTTTTTTTTTTTTCGAGTGCTTATTATGTACCAATCACTATCCCGGGAGCCTTTAAATATGTCATCATTTGGCTGGGTATGGTGGCTTATGCCTGTAATCCCAGCATTTTGGGGGGCCAGTGCGGGTGGATCACTTGAGGTCAGGAGTTCGAGACCAGCCTGGCCAACATGGTGAAACCCCATCTCTACTAAAAAAATACAAAAATTAGCCGGGCGTGGTGGCAAGTGCCTGTAATCCCAGCTACTTGGGATGCTGAGGCAGGAGAATCGGTTGAATCTGGGAGGTGGAGGTTGCAGTGAGCCAAGATTGTGCCACTGCACTCCAGCCTGGGCAACAGAGGAAGACTGTCTCAAAAAAAAAAAAAAATCATCATTTAATCCTCAGCAAATATCTTGGTGATCTTGAGGTAGGCAAAGATACTTAGATACTTAAGCAAGACACAGAAAGCACTAGCTATTAAAGGGAAATGTGAGGATGTGGACTTCATTAAAGCCTAGTATCAGCATATACCTTTAAGAGGTATATTCTTAACTATAAAAGGAAAGTCAAAGATGGGAGAAGATATTGCAACACATATAACTAACAAAGGACTCATATCTAGAATGCAGAAAGAACTACAATAAGAAAAAGATGATGCAATTTTAAAATGGGCAAAATATTTGATAAATAGTTAACAAAAGAGGATATCAAAACAGCCGGTGAATGTTTGAAAAGGTACCCCATATCACTGCTTATCAGAGAAGTGGAATGTAAAACCGCAATAAGATATCACTACATACACACACCATAATGACTAGCATTTAAAATACCAAGTATTGGAAAGGACATTGAACAACTGGAACTCTGACACGTTGTTAGTGGGACTGTAAATTGATACAATTATCTTGGGAAAATGTTTGGCAATGCTAAAATTAAACACACATACCCTGTGACTCGGTACTTCCACTCCTGAGAGTAAATATCCAGCAGAAATGAATGCCTGTGTCCACCAAAAGACATGTACCATGCCAGCTTCATTCACACCACTGCAGGGTGGAAATTGACCCCCAAAGTCCACTGACATTAGAATGGGTAAGTAAATTGTGACATATTCATACAGCAGAATGCTACCCAGTAGTGAAAAACCCCTATGAAATCATGCAGTAACATTAATTAATCTCATAGTCAATGTTGAGTAAAAGAAGTCAAAACAAAAGTACCTACTGTATAATTCCATTCACATACAGTTCAAGAACATGTGACATAAACCTGTTGTAATAAAGGTCAGAGTTGAGGATGCCTTTTGGGGAAAAGGCTGACCGAGAGAAAGCATGAGAAAGCCTGCTTGCAGGGACAGACAGGGGAAGCTGAGAATATATGATCTGGGTGGTGATTACAAGGGTGTATAGATATGTAAAACTTCATTAAAATGTGCACATGAGATCTGTGCACTTTATGGTATGTAAGTTATGCCTCAGTTTGAAAAATGAAAAAGATATTCTGAAGCTATTTTCTCAGCATATTATGATATCCTGGTCAACCTGATCATGGAAGATTTCCTCTGCAGTGAATGCCCATTGGTGAACAGTCACATGGGACACACATACTCTCACCATCTGTGCCCTTCCCAAGAGACTCATCCACCTTCCTCTTTCCCAGACTTCCTTGTCATCAACTCACTATATCTTTCCACATCCCGAGTTATCTAGCCAAACTGTTAGCCACTGTCTATTGATCAGGGTTAACGTAACTCTGGTCATCTCTTTGTCCAGACAAAGTAAACACAGCAGATGCATTCTTTACAATTCGAATCACTGGGAGGATTTTCCTTCCCCACTGTCCTGCAGGGCTGCCCTGAGTGGAGTAGTAATGCTGCAGCAGCCTACTCTCTGTGGTGTTAGAATAGCAGGCAGAACCACCCACACACCAGAGGAAACCAAATCTTTCCTTTCTCAGTCAACTAGACATAGGAAACCCTTCATGTGACTATGATTATGGAGGGAGAGATTAGGAATGTAGCTAGAGATGCCATTGGAGTTACAGCTCCCTACTCATGCCTCTTACTTGTGCCTTGAGGACCTAACTTGGCCAAATTCACAGGCACCACTTCGATTCAAGGAGGTGAGCGCTGCTAAGTATGCCCAGTCTAGTGTGGTGGTGCAGACAACACCCAGTTCATAAAGGGCAGCTCATGTTTCATGAACTCTTGCATGCTGAGAACCCAAGATCAAGTCAGATGCCAGGATGCAGAAGAGGGCATGCTTTTGCTCCAAAGCTCTGGGCACCTGTGCTGTGGTTCTTCTACTAGCTACCCAGTGTCTCCACACAGCTTTCTGACGTACCACAGACATTTTAGGCAACATTGGATCTATTCAGCAATGTCTCAAGCATCCTTATGGCCTTGCTTTGGTTCCCACTTGAAAGTGGGGAAATACGCGTGGATGGACCCTAGAGATGAACTTGGAGTAAGATGTCATTTATGTTCTTTTTCTTTCTTTTTTTTTGAGACGGAGTCTTGCTCCATCGCCCAGGCTGGAATACAGTGGCGTGATCTTGGCTCACTGCAACCTCCGCCTCCTGCCTCCCGGGTTCAAGTGATTCTCCTGTCTCAGCCTCTAGAGTAGGTGGGACTACAGGCACCTACCACCATGCCTGGCTAATTTTCGTATCTTTAGTAGAAAGATAGAAACAAGGTTTCACCTTGTTGGTCAGGCTAGTCTCAAACTCCTGACCTCAAGTGGTCCACCTGCCTTGGCCCCTCAAAGTGCTAGGATTATAGGCGTGAGCCACCGCGCCCTGCCACGTCATTTGTGTTCTAACGCCTATAAGCTCCACCCTGACTTGTAGATCACAATGATATCTTGTATATTACCCTAAAGGTTTGGGTGTTTTCATTTTCCCCATTGCACTGTCACGATGATAAATGGCTGAGATTCCTTTTGAAAGCTAGGAGGAAGATTTGTGGCACATCCTTGTGCTGGTGGTGGATCTTGCTGCCTTGCCTTCATTTCTAGGTTTATGAACAGGTTCGGGTCTGGGAATTAGGTGAGAATCTGAGACTCTCCACTGTGGCAACTCAAGTCAGCTCTCTGTTCAACCACCTAGACGTTTTCACTTATGCAGATCAAGTAAGATTTTAGTGGGCTGAATATACATTTCATTCCTGGTAACACCATGATTAATTAGCCATGGCCAAAGATCCCTGATTATAGCTCTGGTTGTGATGCCCACATCAATAATCATGCCTGTCTTTTCTCTAGAGGGAAAGCCCTACCACCCACCTACTATTTCCTGAAGATTCCACCGTGCCCACTAAAATCAGGAAACTCATTTCACTGGTCATATCATCCACCATCGCATTTAGCAAAGTGCTGCTACAGAGCTTTTCAATGATGCTGGTCCTCTCCTTTCTAATGCCTTAATGAAGACCGTTTCAGTGGAACCTTCTGGGAGGACATAATGAAGGAGTGGGTGAGCAAGTTGCACATATTAAATCCATTCCAACATAACTCTCTTCCTAAGTCTTTTCATTTTTTTCTTCCAATTATACTAATGAACTACTGGGATCTCAACTTCATTTAGTGTAGGCCACCAGTAAGTCCACATTTCAAGCAACCAAAAGAACTGTTAGGGCAACTCACACCTACTTGAGCTAATAATTGAATCTAGAACGTGCATTAAGTTCACCCATGTGTTTGTTTTCTATCAGTGATAACTTACTACAAATGTACCAGCTTAAACCAACACCCATTTATCAGACCACAGTTCTATGAGGCAGGTCTGGGACCAGCATGACTGGCTCCTTTGCTCAGTCTCACGGGATAAAATAAAGATGTTAGTTGAGCTGCATCCTCATCTGGAGGCCGGCATCTCTTTCAAGCTCACGTGGTTGTGGCAGAGTCCAGTTTCTTGTGTTTAGAGTTGAGGCCCCTGTTTCTTTGCTCACTGCCAGCTGCGGTTGCTCTCAGTCCCTAGATCTGACTCAATGCATGGAGCTGGAGGCCACAAGGGGCATTGTAATAGTGCCTATGGTAGGCAGAATAACAGCCTCTCAAAAACATCCATGTTTTAATTCCCAGAACCTGGAAATATGTTACTTTATATGGTAAAAGGGACTTTGCATGCATGATTGCATTAAGGATCTTGTAATAGGGAGATTATCCTGGATTATCTGTGTGGCCCCAATGTGATCACAAAGATCCTTATAAGAGGGAGATGAGAGGCCAGGCACAGTGGCTCATACCCGTAATCCCAGCACTTTGGGAGGCCAAGGCAGATAGATCACGAGGTCAGGAGTTTGAGACCAGCCTGGCCAACATAGTGAAACCCCATCTCTAATAAAAATACAAAATTTAGCCGGGTATAGTGGTGGGCGCCTGTAATCCCAGCTACTCGGAAGACTGAGGCAGAAGAATGGCTTGAACCCAGGAGATGGAAGTTGCAGTGAGCCAAGATCGTGCCACTACACTCTAGCCTGGGCGACAGAGCGAGACTCTGTCTCAAAAAAAAAAAAAAAAAAAAAGAGGGAGATGGGAGTCAGAGTCAGAGATTTGAAGATGCTGCAAGGCAAGCTTCGAAGATAAAGGAAGGCGCCACAA